TGCCCCCTGTCCACCCGGGGGGGGTGGGGGGGGGGGGAGACGGGACACCTGGCCCTCACCCGGTACTGTCGCTGGCCCGTGGTGGGCAGTGTCACCTGTCCCTGGTGCCAAATGCTGCCCTGGGTCCCCCGCTGGGTCCAAATCACCGTCTCCTCCCCTCCCTCCAGCTGCATCTTGAGGTTCAGGGTGCCTGGGCAGAGGGGAGAGTTGGGCAGCTGTCCTGCACCTCTCAGCGACCCCACAGTCCCCAGGGGAGCAGAGCCCAGCTGGGGCATCACCGGGGGGATGCCATGGGGCTGCATACCGATCTGTGGGCCGGCCAGGCGGTACCAGAAGGAGAGGCAGCGCAGGGCAGTAGCAGGCTCTTGGTGGTAAGTGATGATCTGCGCCCGCTGCCCACGGCTCCACGGCGCAGAGGGATCCGCAGCCAAGAAGTATCCTGAGTATTGGGGAGAGCCAGGGTGGAGGGGACATGGGTGCCCTGAGCTGTGCCCGTGTTACCCTCATGCCAGACCCAGATCTGGGTGCCTCCGGGCTGCCCTGGCTGAGCTCGTCCCTGGGGCAGCATGGGGTTGCCTGGGGTGCTCAGGAGGCTGCAGGGTCCCCTGGGCTGCCTGGGGTCCCCAGGAGAGGAGCCAGCCCCTTACCTGAGCCTGTGGTGTGGTCGGAGCCCTGCCTCTGCCCCGTGACGTGCACCCATTTGAAGTCACTGGACTGATCCTGGTACCAGCCACACATGCCCCTCTCAAAGTTGCAGGACAGCTCTGGCCAGAGAGGCGTGACCGTGGTGAGAGAGTGAAGATAAGGCACCCCAAAAGCAGACAGGTCCCCAGAATGTCCCCTTCCCTCTGCTCCCCCACCCACCTCCCTGAGTTCACCCCATCCAGGTGCCCTGGGGTAGGATGTGGGCTCAGCCCCAGCCCCAGCGCTTCTGCACTGTGGTCCTGTCCCTGGACTAGGGACAGAGGGACAGTCTCCAGGCAGCCCCCGTGGAAGCAGCACCCATCAATGCGGGCAGGGGGCCAGGTCCCCTCCTGCTCACGGCTGCCCTCCCTGCCCATACCCTGCCCTTCCTGGCCGTACCCGTGGCCCCTGGTGGCATCATGCTGGGGTGGCACTGCACAAACGTCACATTGTCGATGGCGGCGCTGGCCAAGTCCTGCAGATCCACCAGCCCCAGCAGCTCGACCTGGGGGTCGCATGGTGGTGGTGAGCCCCATGGTGCCTGGCAGCACCGGCACTGCCCCACCAGTAGCCAACCAGGCTTGTCCCCATGTCCCTGGGTGCACCTGGAAGGGCCGTGTCCTCTGCCCCAGTGGGATGCTGATGTGTTTCTCAGCCGTGTCACCGTGTCCCTGTATGTACCAGGCCAGGTGGGTGGTGCCAGTGGTGTGATCTGCGATGCTGACAGCAAGGAAGCCTGGGCACAAGAGGTGGTGCGGAGGCTGGGGGGACCAGCAGCCACCGGCCACCCCCTGGGAATCCCCCCAGTGCCTCAGCAGTCACCCAGCCCGAGGCCAGAGGGACCAGGACGGGGACACCTCAGCTCCAGGATGGTGTGATGGGGCAGAGTGGGGTGGGAGACGCAGCAAAAGCAGGGGGGCGTGGGGGGCTCTGCCCTGTGCCAGGCTGGGACAGGGAGCGGGCAGGACACCCCGGGACTGAGCTGGGGGTTACCTTGGGGGCCGCTGTGGATGCGGTAGCTCATCTCCATGGCACAGGCGGGGCCGGAGGGGCCCAGCAGAGGCGTGCGTGCCTTGGCAGCAGCCTTCACTTGTCCTTCTCCTGCCTGGAGGGCCAGGAAAGCCCCTGGGCACAGAAACACCCTGAGAGGTCAGGGCAGGGGCCCTGTGTCCCTAGCAGCACCCCCAGCCCAGCACCCTGCCCGGGCATCACCCCCTACTTCCCACGGTGGCACCCACCCACAACCGGCTGAGTGGGAGCCCCCTGCACCCTGGGAGCCCCTGCAGTGGCTGGGGACCAACAAGCATCGTCTCTGTGGTGGGAACAGCCTCACCTGTGAGGACGGTGTTGGTGGTGGTGGAGGTGGTGTTGGTGATGCCCCAGCGCAGCTGCCCTACGCTGACATCATGCCAGCCCCCGGCCCCCGCCTCGAAGGTTGTTGCTCCTGCAAAATCCCAGACTCAGCCCCACTGGGCCACTGTGCCTCCTGGGGGCTATGTGGGCACCCACGTGTCCTGGCCATGCCAGCCAAGGGGTGCCCAGGTCACCCTGCTCTGGTCCCCTGCCTGACCACCGGGGAGCCGGGTGTCCCCCATGGCTCTCACCACAGCGCTTCTCGTCGGAGCTGTCGGCACAGCTCTCAGCGAAGTCACAGGCCAGCTCTGCGCTGATGCAGCCTCCGCTGTCACAGGCCACCTCCTCAGCCTTGCAGGGGCTGGCATGTGGCCGGCTTGGCAGTGTCACCGAAGTCTTGTCTGATGGTAGAACACCCCGGGATGGAGAGCAGTGGTGAAAGGGACCATCACCAGTGTCATCTGTTCAAGCCATGGTCCCCTGTCCCTGACCGTCTCCCTGGCCCTCCGTGTCCCCCAGCCCCATCCCTGCCCCACCTCCTGCCAAAGGGGGCAGAGGGGGCTGACAATAGCTGCTCGTGTGACATGGCTCGGGCAGCAGGTTTTGGCACAGGGGACGGAGTGTCACAGCTGGGGGATGAGGACACCAGGCAACCTGGGCTGCAAGCCCCAGGGCAAATGCTTGCCATGCTGTGCCCAGCATGGTCACCATGATGAGCAGAAGGACGGGCAGACTCTGCAGTTGGTCCTTTAGGGATGGTGCCACAGGCACAAGACACCTGGAGGCCGTTGCTCACATTGGAGCAGGGGTGGGGGATGGCCACCCTCCAGCTCACCCTCCACGCAGCCCGGAGACAGGATCAGGTCATCGATGGCAATGGTCCCCGTGCCACCAGCCACCCCCTCAATCAGCACCTGTGGGGAAGCAACGTGCCACATCAACATGGGGTCTTGCACAGTATGGAGGGGATGGGCAATGGCACTGGGCATGGTGGGGCACCAGGGAGCTGCGGGGGGGGGGAAAACCCAGCTCCTGTGGTTGGCCAACATGGCTTTCCCCTGGAAGGGGCTCGGTGGGAGCAGGGGTGATGCTGCGGCTGGAAGAGGTGCACGGAGTGGGCTTGGGGTGATGGTGCTGCCCCGGCACACAGCCAGGGCCTGCAGCTGCCCTCCAGGGCCAGCTGGGAGGGGGTCTGGCTGCATGCGTGGCCATGGGGCACAGCAGACAGGATAGTGGGAAGGCATGGAGCGACATGGTTGGACTAGATGATCTTTAAGGTCCCTTCCAAACTAGACGATTCTATGACATAGGATGGATGAAAACACCCTCCACCCCCTTCCAGTGGGGTGGTCGCTTGGCTGGGGGGCCTGGTAGGGAGGTTTGTAGGTGTGGGCACAGGAACACAAGGGTGGCATATGCCAGCACCAGGAGGCTCAGCTCTGGCATCTGATTCCCAGTTCAACCCCTACTCCTGGTCCCGTCCCACAGATGCACACCAGGGATGACCACGTGCCCTGTGTCCCTCGCCCTGCAGGCAGCCCAGCTTGCCCCAGCACGGTGCCCCAACCCACCTTGAACTTCTTGGTCACATTGAAGTCCACTCTCTCCCGGACCCAGGAGCTTCCCAGGTCCCCCATCCTCTCCCTCACCAGGTACTTGGTGGAGTTGATCACGTAGGAGATGCTGAGGCTGCTGGTGGCCGAGCCGTGGAGGTGGCAGTACAGCACGAGCTGGGGAGAGGAAGGGGAGTGAGTGAGCCCCGAAACCCTGGGCAGGGGTACACAGCCCCCTGCATCCCACAGCGCGGCTGCCACCCCACAGAATGCTCACAAAAGTGGGGCTGGAGGAGCTCAGAGCTTCCAGAGGGCACCGGAGATGCCACCTAACCACCCCGAAAAACCTTTTGCCCACGCCCAGCAAATGGCCAACTGCAGCCCCAGCCCCATGTGGGGGTCCCCACAGCTGGGGACCTGGCAAACCTGGTTGTTTGCCACCACTGTGCCCACACAGGCTGTGACGTGGGGTCCCGGCTGTAACTCACGGAGCAGGAGTTGGTGGCCTGGAAAGTGGGACTGCTGAGCCAGGCCGTGCCACTGGCCCCCGTGGCTGAAGTGTTGCCCACGTGGAGGAAAAACCCTGCATGAGATGCCGGGAAGAAGCTGAATGGTGCTGGGCCAGGTGTGCACGTACAAGGCGCTGTTTTCCCAACAATGGCCTTAAGCTGAGCCCAGGTACATGTTACCACAGGGGCCGGAGGCCAGTGGTGCCCTCGGGACCCTGGGATGCCAGTGTCCGGCAGCGTACCTGTCCTGCTGTTAAGGCTGTGGTCCCGGGTGGGGATGCTGTACATGGTCCCCAGGCTCAGGCTTGTGTTCCTCTCCCACTTCGGCTGCCCATCCTCCACCTCCCAGAAGCAGAGATCTTTCTCAAAGGAGCAACGTTTAAAGTTCTCTGCAGGGAGGGAGGGAGAGCAGAATGACCCAGGGAGATCCCCGTGGTGGACTGACCCCTCCACAAAACCCTCAGGATGATTTTGCCCCTTGAGCTGTACAGCCATGGGGCAGAGCTGGGGTGACCTCTGCCAGCCCCACAGCCTGACTTTTCCCCGCCAGGGCAGACCCTCAGCCTGGCCGTGCAGTCAGGGGGCTGGGGGGCAGGACCCCCTCCCCAGGCCCAGAGGTGCTCACCACACCGTGTTGTGCTCTCGTCCGAGCCATCCCCACAGTCGTCGGTGCCATCACAGAAGCGGTGCTTTGCCAGGCAGGAGCCCCGACTGCAGCTGCCCTCCTCCTCCCCACAGTCCTGCTGCCTGGGCTCTGGGGTGGTGGGACATGGCATCAGCACTTGGTCAGCCCCATGAGGACTCCAGCACATGCTGGGCTTCCCCCACATCCTTCCCTGCGTTGCTCAAGGGACAGGGTTTGTGGCACGCCCCATGCCCTGGCCAGGCAGATGCACCCAAGACACAGCAGGCAGCAGGAGAGCCCCCGCAGCTGCATTGCCCAGGTTGATTTCCCGGGGGATCCCAGCTCGTCTCTCATCCCAGCAGATGCGGGACCCACCCTGCAAGCCGCAGTTCCTGAAGATGATGTCGTCAAGCACCAGCTCTGCGCCACATGCCGGCGGTTGTGTCAGGGAGAAGATGAGCTGCCAACAAGATGCCAGGGATGGCATGAGCTGAGCATCTGCACGAGCTGCCCAGGCATTCTCGTCTCCCAGTGAGGGACACGGGGACAGTGCCCAGGTACCAACACAGCCCTGCCTCACCTGGAACTGCTCTGCAACCCGGCCCGGGTAGGCGACCAGCTGGTGCCAGCCTTCGCCTCTGCGCTCGGGGCTCTGCCACAGCCCCACCACCTCGTCCCTGTACATCATGGCCAGGCGCAGCACCGGCTGCTCTGTCTGGTTGAGCGCTGTGGGAAGACCCAAAACGTGGCCCGTGGCACCGGGCACCCCAGGGTACCCATGGGGACAAACTGAGCCCTGCCACCTCTGAGGACTGGAGCTGAGACCCCTGGGTCCTGCCAGCTCTCCTTGCGGAGCATGGAGAGATGAGCAGGACGGCAAAGACCCATCTCGAGGTGCCAGTGGCTCTGTCTCTGCCACAGGGGCAGATGGTCCCGTCCCTTCCTGCTGTCCCCCATCATTGCTTCCCTGTGGCCAGTTCCCCGAGGCCCAGCCGTGCCCACTGTGGGCACCCTCACCGCTTCCTGAGAGGTGGAACCAGGCGCTGATCTCACACGTGGCAGCTGCTTCCTGCATCACTGGTGACCTGAGCCAGGCCACGGCCGTGGTCTTTGCCGGTGGGGACACAGTCACCATGAACCACCCTGGGGAGGGCAGAGAGCAGAGCTCCATGGGATGGCACCATAGCCACGGTCAGCACTGGTCCTGCCCTGCCATGGGTCTGCTCCTACAGGGAGGACGGGTGTCACAGCACCCTGGCTTCAGGGCACCCATGGCTCAGGGTCTGGTGCTGCGGGTGCCTGGAGCCGAGCAGCTCCTGCTTACCCAGGTTGGTGCCCATGGTGTGGTCTGAGTAAGGCCCCATGCTCCATGTGGCCAGGTTGGCCTGGCCCCGCACCCATCTGTAAGTTGAGGTGCTCACGTCCTGCCAGCCACAATCGCCTTCCTCGAAATCACAGGTGAAGGGGGTGCCCAGCACCGCCGAGCTCCACAGGTACCCTGAGGGTGGGCAGACAGGGTGTCAGGGCAGGGCTGGGTCTGCCCTGGGGACATGCACCAACCCCAGGGACCTGCACCCACCCTGGGCACTCGCACCCACTGTGCCCCAAGCTCCACCGCCTGCTCTGTCCCCAGGAGTGGGTCTGGGAGTGGGTCTGGGGGGGGCCGTGCACTCACCACACTGGTTCTCGTCGGAGCAGTCGCTGCAGTTGCAGACGAAGTCGCAGAGCTGCTCCGCTGTGCTGCTGCAGCTGTTGACGACCGTGGACCCTCCGGGGAGGACAGTCCCGGCTGCAGTAGAGACAACAGGGCTGAAAACGCCGTGAGGATCCGGGCACGGTGCCCGCAGCAGGTGACAGAGAGCACACGTGGCCTGCATTTGTCGAGTCCCCAGTTTGGGACCCTGCTGGGGCGGGGGGAGTGCTGAGCTCTCAGCAGCATCATCCCTTGGACAGGACCCCTGCAACCCCACAACCCCCACATCTCCTTTGCCATCTCCCACCACCAGCCCCACTCCCACGTGCCCCCAGGGTGCCAGACCCTGCTGGGGCTGGGGCACTGAGCCTCCAGCCTGGTATATCTCATCCCTGCACTGAGTCTCAGACCTCAGAAACAGGAAAATTTGGGCATTTTCCTCCCTACGTCAAGCAAAGCCATCGGCGATACCCAGCCCAGTGCTGGCACTCGCTTGCCCCAGGGAGTATCGGGATGACCTTTGCCAGCAGAGCCCAAAGGAGGGGTTTGATGACTTTATTTGCTGCAGACCCCCCCCAGAGCTGGGGGAGCAGCAATCCCCATGGGAGCCCATGCTGGGGAAGGATAGAGCAGAGCAGCCAGCACTGCATCCCCTTCCCTCCCTGCAGCATGACCCCCCGTGTCAGCAGCACTCACCCAGCAGCAGGAGGGCGAACACCACCTGCCTGGCCATCTCGGTCTGTGCCCGCAGTGAGGGTAGAACAGAGCCCGGAGAGGTAGAGGGCCGGCGGGGGAGGCCACGCCGTGAGCCCAGGGCTGGAATCTGCTCCCTGTGACCTGTCCCGTGTTGGACTTCAGCCCCACTGTTATCGGCTCCCCAGCCCCGGCAGTGGGTTTATGGCAAGGCGGTTTGTTGGGCTGGGACAGGTGACCCATGGTCCCGGCACCGCTGCCAGCACCACAGGCGGCAAGCTGGCAGCTGTGTACCCCCAGACCTTTGGCTGCTTTTCCCCAGCACACCCCACTTCTTCAGCCCCCCTTTTCCAACCGCACTGGGATGCTGGGTGCTGCTCCGACCGGGACAGGGCCAGCTCGCATGGTCCGAAGGCACACGCCGGCTCAGCGAGGGAAAACGCCACTTTTTCCTGCCAGGCTGGCCATGCTGCCAGTCCTGGGGGAGAAGCTGACACCTCTGCCAGGGCCATGGGGGCCATGCCATGCCAGCTGGGCTGTATGATGCCCTGAGTGCAGGGAGAAACAGTCCCTGAGCATAAGGAGCAGTGGGAGAGCCTTTGGGCACAGACACGAGCTGGCAGCAGGGAGGGCAGCTGTGCTGGGGGGCAGTGGGTGTGAGGAGCGATCCCGAGGCACGAAAGGTATAAATGGGTCATGATGCAGCCATGCAATGGGGAGCCACAGCAGGCAGGGAACCCTAGGACTGCGGGCTTTGAATTCAGAACAAAACTCTGGCTGCCTAGAGGTTTGGGACAGGTTGGGAGAGGAGGCAAGGACAGGCAGGACGTGCAGGAGGAGCCACCTGTCCCACTGCCCAGCTGAGCTGGCTTTGCCAAAAGCTGGGGCTCCAGCCCAGCGCAGGGACCCCCTGATGGCAAGCAGGAAGGGGGTCTCAGCCTGTCTGGTCCAGGCAGAGCAGCCTGTGCTCCTGCTGCCATGTGCAGTCTGCGTGGCGACTGCTTTGGGAGGGTGCCCAGACCAGCGTGGAGCCTGTGGCGCTCCTTCCCCTGGCTCTGGCTGCCTCTCCCCAGCCTGTACCCTCTTCTCCAGCCCCAGCCAGCAGCCCCTAGTCCTGGGGACCCAGAGGTGCCATCAGCAGGGCCAGCACCCCCTCCTCCTGCACCACTCCATCTGGCAGGAGCACCTCAGCACCCAGCTCATGAAGGTGCACATGAAGAGGCGAAGGGCCACAACTCTCAGGTCTCAACCAGGTCACTCCTGGGCAAAATCAGGCACAGCAGAGCCCCAGGAACATCTGTTCAGCCTGGAAGGAGCATAGCTCAGCAACCAGAGCCCCTGCCCAGCACCACTGGAGCTGACCGGCAATGGCAACCACTGCCCCTGCCTCAGTTTCCCCACCTGGGCAGGGGGAGCTGCTGCCAGGGCCTGTGGGGCTGGCTCTGCCCCAGGGGAGCTCCCCTGCCTCTCCTGCCACAGCCCCTGTGCCCAGAGATGGGCCCCCACTGCTGAAGGCTGTGCATGGATGTTTCTCCCCTCCTGGCCGGTGGCCTTGGACAGCAGATTGCAGCACGATTGCATCAGAGGCAGTAAAACACAGGGTTCAGCTCCTTCCCCCAGCACAAGCCAGAACAGGCGGAGACCAGCAGCCCTGTGCCCCCCCCACCTGGCCACCTGGGGCCAGCAGCGCCTGCAGGCAGGAGCCCTGCCCTTCCCTGCAAACCTGGCAGGCACCAAGCTGACCAGGAGCCAGCACCACAAGCAGCCACCAGCCTCCCGGGCACTGCAGGCAGAGCATCTCCAGCAGGTAGGATCCCTCCCCTTGGTGCTGGGGAGGCACAGGGGAATGCCAGCCCCGCAGGATCAGACAGGTGGGCATACTGGAGCAGGTCCAGCTATGGGCTGTGAGGATGATGAAGGGACTGGCCTTCTGACAAGGAAAAGCTGAGTGTGCTAGAGCTGCTCAGCCTGGAGAAGGCACAGGGGGGTGTCATCCGTGTGTATAAAGACCTGACGGGAGGGAGCAGAGGGAAGGATCCAGCCCCTTCTCAGCAGCCAGTGCCCCCGAGGGACAAGACAACAAGAACAAAACAAGAACATTAAATGTCACTCCATCTTAAGAAAAAACCTTTTTTCCTGTGAGGGCCATCAAAACCAGAGCAGGTTGCCCAGGCTGCTGTGGGGCCTCTATCTGTGGAGATGCCCAAAACCCGCCCAGCCACAGCCCCGAGCGACCTGATGGAGGATGGACTGGGCATCTCCAAGGTGCCTCCAAGCTCTGCAATTTGGTGACTCAAGGTGAAGCCGTGCTCCTCCATGTGACCAGTGCAAGACACTCAGCCCCCATGCCCCAGGGTCTGTCACATAACAGCCACCAGCTCAGTGCACGCATGACTGTTGGGTGACATTCAGCCCAGCACAGGAGATGGTCACCACCTTGCAGGAGACAAGCTCTAGGCACAGCAGAGCTATTTTTCTAGACGTGCAGTGCCACGTCATGCATGTTCAGGGAACCTGGGCTTAATCCCCAGCTTTCTTCCCCCCTCCACCAACTTGCAAGGCTGGAGATGGCTTTGGGCACTGTCTTCCACTCCAGCCCTGAGCCACCAGCCAGGCAGTGGGTCCTGCACCCCCAGCCTGGCCCATGAAGCTCATCCCCATCCACCATGCCTTTTGAGTTTGGGGCTGGACACCGGGCACAGGGGCTGAGCTGTAATACTAACCCTGCACAGCTCTGGGCACGGAGACGCTCCTCTCTAGGCAGCCCACATCCCTGATGGCAAGAGGGGAAGGCAGGGAGGCAGCAGCTGGCAAAGCAACCAGGCAGGAGCCAGGAGCACACAGGATCGCAGACTGACAATGAAACACAGCTGGGACCAGGGGAGATGAAATTCCTCGAGCCCCAAACCTTCTATGGGACAGCCATTGAGTGATCCACCCAGCCAACCTGAACTGCACGTCTCCCTCGAGCTCTGCTGTCACCAAAGGCAGCTTTCCCAGTCTCCGCACTCCAGTCCTCACTGGAAGTGCAAGCAGAGAGTCTCTCTAGGAAATACTGAGGGGCAGGAGCCAGCCCTGGTCATCTGGAGGGCTGAAGTCAAGAAGGAAGCTGTACCTGAAGGTGTTACCACCTGCTGGTGTGGCAATGGGCATGTTCTTCCAAACCATGCTCCCAGGCAGCTTGGCTCCCCACCAGCAGGAGACGAGGGTAGTCCTCCCCTCCATCAGCCATGGGCATCCATCGCTTTCTCCTTATCTGCCTCAGCCCTGCTCAAGGCAAATCCTGACACGCTTTCTGCTGTCCCCACCCCAGATCCTGCCAGCTCCAGGGTCAGGCCACCCAAGAGGAGCTGGAAACTGGGTAGGGGTCATTCCTGCTAGAAGGGAGTGTAACCCAGAAGAAGGGAGTGTAACCCAGAACCCGGGGGAGTCATGAATGCGTGACAACAGAGGCAGCTGTGCTCCCCAATGTGTTTAATTCTCACATACACATGTGGGACAAACCCCCCTCACCACCAGGGGGGCCAGGGCGGAGCACCCACCAGCTTCACCAAAGCTTTGCCGCACTGTGCTGGGGAGGTAGGGAGTACCCACAGCGCGTGGGAAGTCTGGTGATGGTGGAGAATGGGTGAGTTCAACACAAACAAAAACCAGGAGAGCCCAGAGTGCTGTCAAGCACGGGGAGCCCACTGCCACCGCCAGATCTGGCCACGCCAGCTCCAGGCTGGCGCCAATGCTGTTGCCCAGCTGGAGCGAGTCAGTAGCCTTCATCCGCCCAGGTGATCTCGTAGTCTGGATACTTGGCTTTCAGCTTCTCCGTGGTCACGGAGTGGTCCGCTCGCCCAAAGCCCTGGCAGAGGAGAGAAGGTCCCAAAGGAGAGCTGCTGCAGTTATGACCCCAGGAGAGCCTGGTGATCCCCTAGGGCAGCTCAGCACAACCCAAGGCTCCGGAGGTGGGAGATGCCACTGAGCCCGTGTCTAGGAAAGACCACCGGGCCCCACCCCCTCAGGGGCAGCGGCTCAGCTGCGGGCACCTCAGCCTGGCTCCGGCTGCTGCACACCAACAGCACCCGGGCAGGGTGACAGTGCCACCCCGGAGCTGGGAAACCCGGCACCGGTGTTGGGGTGCCCGCAGAGGGATGGCAAGGGAAACCCCAGGTGTGGCTGGCAGCGCTGTCGCCCCCCAGCTCGGCCCTTCTGCTCCCGAGGGACGCGGTGCCGGCGCGGCCGTGCCTGCAGGGAGCAGTACGGGGACCCGGGCTGCCGTCGGGAGGGAGAAGCCGCACCCACGGGGGGGGTCCCCCCGCCCCCCCCGCCCCCAGCTTACCACCGAGTACCCGTAGACGTGGATCTTCCTCTCCTCGGGGCGGTGGGAGAGGCGGCCGCCCCCCAGGCACTCGCAGCCCAGGCCCTGCTGCGCCAGCTCCGCCGCCGTCCGCTCGAACAGGTCGGCTGCGGGGGGAGGGAACCGTGGGGCGGGGACGCCGGGGCCGAGGGGACGATGACACCGCCGCCGCCGGGGACCCGCCGCTA